ATTATACCGAATATTGAGAAATTGACTCCAGTTACTGATGCCATTTGCTGGAATCTGAAGGATTTAGGAATTAACTAAAAAGTTAACTAAAAGTTAATTAGCCAATGTTCACATTCACTTTTAGTGCATTCTAAAGGATAATTTTATTTTGTAATAATTGAAACAATTTAAATTTAAGGATTCCAACATCCTGTTTTTGAATAACAGATTACTGTATGGATTATTTGAATTTAAAATAATTTTGACAAAAAATGAAAGATACACATGTGATGGAATAAAAATGTAAAGCAACTAGTGGTACAAGAGTGAGTGGAAAAATTCACTTCTCCAGCAGGCACTGCTTTACAAGTCAAAATCAAGTAATGAGAGGAGTTTTCCAATTATTCCAGCTTTAATTAGGTATCTATCAGATTCTGCATAGAGAGAAGGAACAGGAGCATCTTTAAGTAAACCTAAGATAGTTCCGAGGAGTTTATTTTGAAAGTTCCATGTCTTTAAATTGATAGTGAATAAGGTTGCATGAATTAGTCTTCTGTGAGGAATTAACTAAAAAGTTAACTAAAAAGTTAGCCAATGCTTATTTATCTCATAATTTATGTCACGTCCATTTTGATAGGACACTGTTAAAAAAAGAAAAGAAGCACAATGAAACCAGGAGTAGTTAGCAGTTTGCTAGATAGCTATATTAAACATCCAGACTTTTGGAAATTTTCAGGCAAGCATTATAGATGAGAACAGACACAGAGAAAGTATATTGTCATCTCCACCATTCTATTTAATACAACAGCATCAAGGCAAGAAAGTTGGAACTGGGTAAGGGTGAGAAAGAGACCATGAGTTATTACAGGCAATTATAATATATGAAAGTTTATTTTATTTGTTAATAATTCAGGTTCTTTTATACATATATAATTAGTTGTTTAGCTATGGCATTTTCACATTGCAAAATCACTAAAAGATGGTGGGAAATAAATATCATGATAAATGTCATTATTGATCATCACAAGAATTTGTTTTGACAGTGTTAATTGGTGGACTGTGATGTTTTAGTTTTCTACTTTTCATTGACATAGAACATATTTCTGCCTTGGATAAATGGGAACTCAGTGCAATTACTCAGTTGGTGATTGCCTAGCTCTTTTGTTGCTCTTGAAGTGTGGGCTGGTTTACTCATTACCTTATTCCTATTGCAGTGACATGTCATTGCTACCATAGAACATCCCAACCTAATGGAGAATTTTGATTTTAATGCCAGATGTTGTTTGATGGAAAGTCTTCAAAAAATTGCCTGAATCCATGAATTAAAACAAGTTAATTTATACAGATAAAAATATAAAACAATGTGCTGATTAGCACTAAACCTGTATTGTGTCATTATTTAATAGGTTCACCTATAACCCTTGAAATAGAATATAATAAGTATAATAACCAATAGTATTTTTTGACCCGGCTCCACTAGTTGATGGCAACTAGGATATAAAGTAATCAGCCACCATAGTAACATATAAATTCAATTAGATATCTGGTTTACCAATTGTCAGGGCACATATTGATAGTAGGGTTTTTATGGCTGGATTGAGATTATCTGAAATTATTATTATTAGTATTTGAAAAGGTTAATTGGAGAAAATGATTTAGACAGATATTTTAGAAGGCAAGGATATTTTTATTAGATACTGGGAAATAACATTGCAGCTTTCTAATACACTGAAAATTTTGCATGCAATATTCAGATACATATGTGTGTATGTGTGTTTGCATGTGTAAATATGCTCAGCAACAGTCATAATGGAGCAAGATGGTTACACATAAGCAATACAGTTCCAAATTTTGGAATCACTGAAAATAATGGACTCTGAACTGTTTGCTGTTTGCTATGTATGTTTTTGATAGGCATCTACAGTCTGTTCACCAAAAAGAAAAAAAGAAAATATTCATTCAGAAACATTATTCTGTAACAGGGTTAAGCGATTTAGTGCCATTAAAGTCTTTTGACTGCAACTCTCATCCACTCTAGTTTAACACAGCTAATGCCAAAAGATCATAGCAGTTGTTGTTTACTATTCATGGAATGAATTCTGATGCTGAGGATTCAGTCCCAGGACATCTGATATCAAGGGCAATGAGAAAGGTTATCATTTCAGCATTTCCTTTAAGCACTAATATGTCTATATGGAATTAGATAAATGTCTTTATTGTTAAAACGTATTTGTGGAACTAAATATTTCAGGCAAATATGGTAGAAAATGGTATTGCTAGAGTTAGGAAGATATTTCAGGGTTTCATGCCTGCAGATAAATTCAATTATTTAAAACTTTATTAATGAGGACAAAATCACATATCTTCAGATTCAAGGTGACTTGAACCAAGACAAGAGACTGATTTTAATTAATTAGTTGAATGATTAATTTAGCAGACTTGAGAGACCAATATATTATTTAAAAGTACATAATATTGTTTTTTGTTTTTATAAATCACATACATTAAAAACCTAATATACTTTGTTTTAGCACATGAATAATGAAAAAGAAAAAAATTAAATACCTTTCACGATGCTCTTAATAATTTCTTAAGTCTTGAACTTTCACTAACATGAAAAGAATAGATTCATTCCTATGACAGCTTATTGTAAAAGTATAAGAGATTAATGATTTATGATGATACTATGCTAAGTGCAAAGAAGTCTGAAATTTTTAACTGTGAGTGGCATATTTTAAATGAATAGTAAAAATTATTTCACTTTAGAAACAGTGATGCATAAAACCAGTTTTATATCTTGGTGAACAATGGTAAGATCATCATATAATGCACCTGGGGAAAATGCTAATGAATCATATTCCAAGCAATTAGGATTACATTTTAATCTTTTTTAAAGAAATAAATGCTTTAGTTATTCTGTCATTGTTTTAAATTACAGCCTAATGAAAAGAAGTCATTTGCAAAAGTCTGCAACAAATCTCATGAAAATTAGTATGTGCTATGTAGCACATTCATGTGGTCAGCTTCAGTATTCAGAAATACCTAACTGTAAACACAGTGGTCTTATAGATATTTCTGTTCCAAAATGTACTGTTGATGGTGAGAATGTTTAATATGCTAAATTCTGAGGTTTTTATTCAACAGAAACTATTCCACATACAGACGGTCTTTTTCCAAGTACTGTGGTCTGCAACTTTCATTGAAAATAGTTTCAAATGCAGAAACAGTATATGGGATTTATATATCCAGCCCAATCCATATTTTAGGATCTAGACCTTTTCTCTTTTTTAAAAAAAGAACAAATCACACATAAACTCATATTACTTGGAAAAAATATTTTCATGTTTTATAAACCAAACCCCATCTTGAAATAACATTAGTTTCAAATTGGCTATAAACATGCCTACTGGACCTACATGGTTATATTTTATCAATTTCTTTGACAAAGTTGAGTTTGGTTTCATGAGCTCAAGTGTTTTTGGAATGTCAAATCAAGATAAGCAAATGTGGAATAATGGTAACCCTAGTGGATAAGGCACCATAATTTTCTTCTCAATTTTTTGAGCAGATTCAATGCTCTGTGCACTTGTATAGCAATCTTTATCAGTGTTCCTCATGGAATAGGATGTTATCTTATTAACAACCTAATAGGATGTTAATATTGGACTGGATATAGATAGAGTTATCCAGATCTAACTGCTTCCAGGCATCCAGATAGGACCTTAACGTGGCTCAGGAAATCTCTGCACAGAACTAATTAAGTATTGCATTATTGTTTAGAACCTAAACTCTTTTCAAAAAATCCTACTGAAATAGTTTGAATTCCACAGAGTTATGCTGATTTACTCCACTAGCATTACTCAGATAGGTAGTCAGATCTTTTATATATCTGTTGGCTTGTAGATCAATACTAATGTGATGCAGTTCAGCAAATTTGATAGTTACATTAAATATGATTGCAAATTATGTTTAATATTATTGTTTAATGAATAGTAGAGATAGTTGCATGTATATATCCATGTGAATACAATGTAATACAATGTAATAATTTGAAAATTATTTTAGACTTCTGCTTCTATATAGTAAAAAATCAATAGAAATAATGTATCAGATGCAAATGTAGTTTTTTTATATTGTAGAATATAAATTTGCAAAGAACAGGAAACTAGATACATTTTTGAGATGGGCTGGTTGGTAACATGAAATGGATTTAATGTCACGTTTTTCATGGTATGGTTAAATAATATTTTATAGCAGCTTGCATTGCATTAGCATGCATTAGACTTATGAGAAGATTAAACACACCTTTATGAATAATACATACTGGAGTGTTTTATGCTTTATAGATATTCTTATTGATAGCATTAAAGAACTGATAGAAATTAGAACTAATTAAGTAGCCTTAGAGCGTGTAACTAGCTCCTTAGCCATAGCATTATACTATAGGTTTGATTTGATTACATCAGAAAGCTGTTAGATTTGTGTCTTATAATCAGTACCTGATGAAGAAAATGTTAATTAATATTTTTTATTTAGAAAGCAGTCCTTTTTAAACAGTCTGTTATTTGACATAAGGCAGGACCAGTTTTGTTTCAGGTCTCCTAATATACAGTTGGTTAGAACTGGCTAACATAGATGAAGTCCTCCAAAGAGAACAATGAATTACAAATTTAAATGTTGATAGGTTTGCAAGTAACAAACAAGTTTATAGTAAATGAAAATAAAAAGTATAGGAAACTAATAATGTATGAAATAGTTGATTTAAGGAAAACATTAAAGGTGACATTGTGTACTGCATATTTTGAATTGCATTATTATATAGAATGTCCTGGCTTAAATCTGTAAAGATGAGGCCCAGATTAATGAATGTCATTCAAGCCTTTCTTCAGTTAGTTGTTTATTATATATATTTACACTCAGCATTGATATTATGCAGTCCACTTCTAAACTTGTTAGAATCTAGGAATTAAAGCAATTGAGAAAGGATCAAACCTGATTTCTGCCTTAATTGTTTGTTTTAGGTGACTTTTACGAAGAGGAAATTTGGGTTAATGAAGAAGGCTTATGAGTTGAGTGTTCTATGCGACTGTGAAATTGCTCTCATAATCTTCAACAGCACCAATAAACTTTTCCAGTATGCCAGCACTGATATGGACAAGGTGTTGCTGAAGTATACAGAATACAATGAACCGCATGAGAGTCGAACGAATTCAGATATTGTTGAGGTAAGTATTATATTGAAATAGGAGGGTTTCTTTCCCTATAATGTACTATATTAGTTTGAAACTGATTTTCTATGTGACAATCACCTGGGCTAGTTCAGTTCATAACACTCTCCTACTTTAGTGCATTCTTTTTGCTAGTTCATTTGGCTTTAGTTTTTTATATTTGTAAAACCTCTCTTAAAATTCAGATACTTTCATCTTATCAAATACAATCTCACAAATTTTTAAAACCATGGATTTATATTTAAAAATATACCCTCCAATATATTTTGTAATGCTTGAGCAAGTGAAATATAATTGATGAGCCTAACCGTGCAAATAAAGGAAGCTTTTGGTAAATTAATGTCATACATGTTCCTTAATATATATTAATCGGTATATTATTTTGTTGTTTTGAAAAGAATAAAAGCATTGATTTTCAAATGTTTTCTAATTTTTTTGCTTGCAGTCATCAATTTACTTTGAAATCTTATGACTGTTTAAGTCAAGATGTAAATAGAGTTGCTCTGTCTCAGGAACTCTTAAGGTTTTTAAACAAATGCATACTTTATTGTAACAATCTTAAAGAATTTGCTGCTGATTTCAGTGGAGCCAGAGTTTAAGTGCCTGTCTGGTGGCTACTTGTATTTCTGATTCTGCACTTCAGTGCAAACAGAGAAATGCATAACATAATCCTGCAAAAAATAAGTGAAGTCCTTCCAAACTTCCAAAAATCCCAGGGCAAATACAAATATTATAGTTTCTATTAAATTTAGAAACAATGTTTTAAGCAATAAAAGTAACTGCTAAAAATTAATGATTTCTAAAGTTGAATAAATTTATACTTTCAGTCAACCGAAAAAAATGTAAATAAATTACTGTTATAGGCCTTCCTGGATTCTTAGGAACTATTCTTAACATTGCAGCAGACCATTAAAATAGTCTTTCTTTTCTTCAGTTCTTGACTAATAAGATTCTATTAATGAAATTCATTGATAACAGCATATTAATAAAACAATATGATCTTTCTTGATTAGATAGACCACTTTGACCTAACAGGACCCCTATCTTGCCCAACTTACATTCCCATGTGACTTGATATTCTCTATTATGCATTATTTAACTTCAGGAATTTGCCATCTCTATTCTTTGTTTCCACTTTGAAGAAATCTCTCTCAGAAGAGGTGTTTATGGCAATAGAAAGAAATGTTACTATCAGGTGAAATATGATTAGAAATGTTGAAATTAGTTATGCTGAAAGATTTCAAAATAAAAGTGCAGGTACAGGAACAAAACATGCCACCATGCATGGAGGATAATTGAGAATGATTTATATGTTCCACTATTCATTGTAATAGAATATTTCATAAAGCACTTTTTGCAAATGCCTTACTTTAATAAACAACATCCACCATCCCAATTTTTTTAAAAAAACACACTTTAAGATTATCAAATAGAAATTTTGCTCCTAAAAATTCCTACACTCTTTAATCTAGATTAGTTTCCCTAGATTTCTTTGAATACTAATAATCTTGTCTTGTCTATTCCCAAAATTGTTGATACAGGAATTCTTCCATTTTTCATTTGCTCTTCTTGATTCCTTACGGCATTAGATACTTGTCATTAGCAGCAGGCTATGTGAATGTTAATCCTGTAGGCAAGCTCTATTTGCAGCCATGGGACATTCCCCCACAATTATTGTATTATGTAGCCTTGGTGATAACTCCAACTATTTTTCTCTGATGTCCTTTATAATATATCACTATTTTGCTTTTGTCTGAAGCTGATAGATTTTTCGGTTTCTAAGGAAAAGAAATGATTAAATGTGAGAAGTAAAGATATTGGTAAACGGCCATGGACAAACAGAAGTACTTCCTGAGAAAAGATGTATGTCATCTGTGCTTGGTGACAAATGTATAATACACAATTCTGTGTGTCTAGCTGTGGCTGCTTATTAATTTATGTCAGCAAAAGTTTTGGATTCTTTATAATAAAAAAGCAGTAGTTATAGGAACACATTGACAATCATTTTAGAATATTTAAACAGTTAAGCAGTATTCACACCAAAGAGATACAAAAGGCTTGCTGTATTGTTCTTTACCATATGGCTTGGTAGCTACTAAAATAGCTTACTAACTTGAAAGGATGTGATTTTCTATATTCAGAACGAAGTATAGAGTGCAGGGGTCATTTCGGATTCAGCAGTGTTTCAGGGTCAGAGGAAATAGTTCTGCAGTATGTGGGGGGTGTTTAGGGGAAAAAAGAATCTTTACATTAGCCAAAAAAATCTTCAGTATAATTATATTGTTTTACTTGATAATTAGCATCACTGTTGCCAGTACAATGAAGCAAGAAAACAAAAGCTGAAGAGGCAGGCAGCTTTGTACACAGAAAGTATCTGAATATATGTCTTGGTGCAGAACAAAGAATTGTCATCTTTTCAATATTTAAATACATCAGTAAAAGATGTATTTAAAGACAAAACTCTGCACTACCAATCCTATGCAAACCTGGGTTGCAATTCCATGCATAATATATCAAGAGCTATACCATTATAGATTTATCTCTCCAAGACCAAAAATGAAACCCGGATTTTTGATGGTAGACAGGTGCTAAGTTTCCCCTTCTGCTTCTCTACTCAGCTTTAAGATTGACATTGTCCAAATAAGTTTGGAGTAACAGGCAAAAAGGAAGATGAGATGTTTCTCTACCGTATCGACAGCCAGGAAAAAAAAAGATGCTGTATGTGTAACCTGGCTTAAGCCTGCTCTCTCCCATTGAGGATGAGATTATTCTAAGGAAAAGGGACCAACAGGAATTACAGTGAAGATTATTCCTTCATTGCTGCCTTGCCAGTTGACATTGCAAGTTCAGGCTTGTCAGGATACTGCAATTGCCCTTTAGAATTGTTCCGTCAATTATACTTAAGAATAAGCCCTTTAAGGCAACTAGTATTATCAAATAAAGGGACTATTCTTCCCATCAAGAATGCGGTATTTTCTTGTAAAGGATGATTCTTTTATTTTTAGTTCTTTTTCAGGACAGCAGAAAATGGATCACTTTCATCTTCTGATTATTTAACTGACCTTCTGCATTCTTACAGATAAATATTTTATATCCATAAGTTTAATTTCTATGGGATTCAGAAATTGGCCTTGCATACTGTATTACATACTGTACATATTGATGGTATGAATGTCTCTTCTTTCTAAAGTTTTAATTTGATAATTTGGTATTTCATAAAATGGCCTTGTAGGATGCCTTTGTGCAAATCCAACAGCAAACCACATTTATGGCATATGCATGTAGGAATTAGGCAGAAACAACAATAAATGTATTTTTAATTGTTGCTTCCAAGAGCAATTGTACCAACAAATAAGCCTGTTGTTATCCGTAATTTTTATTAAAACAGTTTTGTTGTTATTATTATAATGGCACAGATGAATGACCCAGATTTTTAATTTTCCTGAATTCTTAATTGATACTCCACAAAAGGCAAGGAATAAGAAAGATGCAGGAAAATTCAGAATTAAATCTCTAGATGTTAAGGTATAGGGCTGTGATGGCGAACCTATGGCACGCGTGCCATAGGTGGCACTCAGAGCACTGTCTGTGGGCACTCACGCTGTCACCAGCTGTTCTTCTGGTTTCTGGCCAGCTGGTCTTCACGGGCGCCAGAGCACCGGAAAATGGCCTTAAAAATTGCCAAAAACCAGGCCGTTTTCAGGGCTGTTTTTCAGGCTGTTTTCAGGCCATTTGGGGCTGTTTATGGCCCAATAAACGGCCTGAAAACAGCCCAAAAAAAGCATGAAAAATGGTCCAAAAGACTAGGCATGTGTGCACCGGCCAGATGGCCTTCAGGTTTCCAGTGCTCCGGCATGTGCACCAACATGCACATGCACACACATGTACGTGCGTTCCAGTTTGGGCACTTGGTGCCGAAAAGGTTCGCCATCACTGCTATAGGGTCTACAGTTCAAAGATTTATTTATTTGTTCATTTGTTTGTTTATTTAGCATATTTATTTATTTAGCATATTTATTTATTTAGCATATTTATTTATTTAGCATATTTATTTGGCCATCCATCCATAAAGCACCTCCAACTTATGCCTGTTGCTAAGAAAAAAAAATTACCTACCTTTAAAAATAAAAATACCATTAGCCCCCAGTCCATTTTCTGACCAATAAGTCAGACAAAGAATAGATAATAATTTTTTGTTTCTTTTCAAAGTATAATTTTTAATCCATGGATGAAAGAAAAGACTCAGTAAAATAACTACGGAATTTCACTCAAAAGTGCTTTTCCAAAACGCAACTGGACTTTCTTGGTTTTTTTCTTTAAAAACATTTCATTTCTCATCCAAAAAGCTAATGATTGATAATCTCCATAGCCATAAGGAACTTAACATTTTGCCAGAATTTACAAAACTTCATTCTTATTGGCACATTTTGTTTCTAATGTGCAATTTAGCAGCAGAACAACCCTAAAGAAAGTATACTGAATTTGACTAAGATGCATTAGACCAATCAATCTTAGAAGGTAAACTGTAGTATAGTAATTAGATTCAACTGTTTGCATTCACCTGTTTGTTGTTTTCTAATAGAAAATTATTATTTTTTGTGGGGGGAGATATCACAGTCTTGCTGTTCCCTTGCTTTTTTGTTTTTTGTTAATCTTATGTTTTCTTACCTCAGGATACCTTGCTTGTGTTGCTGAATTATTTCAGTCCTGCATAGCAGATTTAGGTCAGGATGATAAAACAAAAACTATTATTAAAACTGAACCTTTTGTCCTTTTAAACAATTTAAGAACAACAGTTCTTACCAAAATTGCTAACATAGAATCAAACCCTTCCATGAATGAAAATGCAAACTTGGAATCTGCATATTTTATCAAAACATTGTTAAACAAATATGTAAAATAATTGACCGCTTTTTTAAATATTACAAAATGAACTGAATTTGTTATGAGATTCATTGAATACTTAGCATCTGGGGAGAAGCTATCAAATAATTTTA